ATTTAAAAAAACTGTAGAGAGCATAAATGCAGAAAGTGAATGAAAGGAGGCCTCTGGGTCAGCGAGCCACGGCTCTCAGCCCAGAGGAGACTTCCAGGTCAGCATGCCACAGCTCCCAGCCAGGAGGAGGCCTCCAGGTAGGCATGCTGCGGCTCCTAGCACAAAGGAGGTGAGCCGCGCAGGTGCCAGGAACACCCCCCCCCCATCAAAATGAGAAGACAGGTAAACAAGCCTCAGAACCAGACTGTCAGATCACCTACAGCAACCCCAAAGGGAAATGAGATGCTCTCAACCACCTGGACTCCCTGAACTGGCAACAAAAGAAGATCTGAAAAAAATGAAATCAGAAATAATTTCTCACATAACAGCAAAGATTGTGCCCATAGTGCAAGACATGATTAATAAATCTAGAGAAGACACAGATAAAAAATAGAGGAGCTGAGGAACATGATGGAAAGCCAACATAGGAAACAAATGGAATCCATAAAACAGATTCAGATTTCCAGGACATTAAAAACTCCATTGAAAGTCTATGCAGGAGAATGAGCCAATGTGAAGACAGAATTTCAGATATAAGATTGCAATTAGTGACCAGGAAAAGAAAAAATTCTTTAAAATTTTAAGGGACCACGAGAAATCAATCCAGCAGCTGCTAGATGATGCAAAGAAAAATAACATAAGACTGACTGTAGTCAATGAAGAAACAGGAGAGAGTGCAGATGACATAAAAAACTCTTCACAGAAGTGATGGCAGAAAACTTCCCAAGCAGGGGAAAAGAATTTGACATACAGATAAATGGGGCATATAGGACTCCAACTAGCCTTGATCAAAAAAAAAATCTACACATAGGCATATAATAGTTAAGATTCCAGAAACCCAACAGAAGAACAAGATTCTACAAGCAGTTAGAGAAAAGAAACAAATCACATACAAAGGAAAGCCCATCAGAATCACAGCAGACTTCTCAATGCAAACCCTCAAGGCAAGAAGATCTTGGAGTGATGTGTTTCAAGCCCTAAAGGGAAACAGCCTCCAACCCAGATTGATGTACCCTGCAAAACTATCTTTCAAAATTAATGGTGAAATAAGATACTTTCATGACAAAGAGGACCTTAGGAACTGAATACCAAACCAGCACTCCAAAAATTTTTAGACAAAATCCTAGGAAAAGGCAATGAGGATCACAACCCCAGGAAGCCCAGCAGAATGAATCCACTGGGCACAACAAGAAATTAAATTCAAAGGGGGAGAATCCAACAAAAAGAAAAAGTCATGACAAGGATAAGTCAATATGTAGCAGTTATAACCATCAATGTTAATGGTCTCAACTCACCAATCAAAAGAAATAGACTGGCAGAATGGGTCAAGAAGCAAGATCCAACAACATGCTGCATACAAGAAACACACTTAATTCAAAAAGAAACTCATAGACTGAAAGTTAAAGGGTGGAAAACAATACTCCATGCAAGGGGAACCCCCCAAAAAGCAGGAGTAGCCATCCTCTTTGCAGACCAAGTGGATTTCAAACCAAATTTCCAATGATGAATGTCATTATATTGTACACCTAAAATGTATCAATAAAAGGATATACAAAAAATAAAAAAATTAAAAAAATGATAAAAAAGGTGAACACAGTATTGAATGTATAATTCTAACTTCATTGATTGATTTAAATTAAAATGTTCTTGCTACAGGAGGCGAAATTTAGAAAGGAAAGGATTTCTCTTTCACTGAATTGTAGCCAGTGCTGCAGACGAAGGGTGGAGAATAGGTGAACATTAGTTCAACCCATAGAGGTCCACATATAACACTGGCACCCACTTCTGCACGTGCACACACCACACCCACCACTAATGGTCATTGCGTGCTTTTTTGAAGAAGAAGAAATCATGTCCCTGGTTATTAATTTTCTAGCCATTATAAAAGATCACTAGGGAAGAAAGGCACTTCTGAGTCTATATCAAAAGCAGGTCCTGAAGAAATGGTTTCACCCCCGTTCACAGCAGAATCGTTTGCAATAGTCAAAACGTAGAAGCAACCCCGGAGTCCGCTGGCACATGGATGGACACAGAGAGTGTGGCATAAACAGACTGTGAATTTATGAGCTCGCTGTCTCTCCACACGCGGGGCAGCATCAGCAGGGGAGGAGGGCACTTGGCCCGTAGTGCAGCTGCACAGATGCCCTGGAGTGGAGGGGGCCACACGCAGGGCTCACCTTGCGATTCCACCCCGAGGGGGCCCTGGGTGCTCAGATTCACAGGAGCAGACGGCAGGAAGAGGAGCGGGGGTAGAGCAGGGCAAGACAGGGCTGCTGTGTCTCGGGCACAGACCTCATCTTGCAAGGTGGGAAGGTTTTGGGGTAACGGCTGCTCAACAAGGTGGACATGCTTCTCGGCTCAGCACTGCGAACTTGAAGTCTCTATGTGTATTTTACCTCAATTAGGAGTGACAACTCACTCCAGAAAGAATGGCCAGCACCAGGAAATCAAGTAATGGCAAATGCCAGAGAGGCTGCGGGGAGAAAGGAGCCTCCTACCTTGGCGGTGGGAATGCAAACCAGTACAGCCACTGTGGGAATCAGCGTGGAGATTCCTCGAAGAACAAAAGCTAGAAATCCCATTTGACACAGCTATTCCCCTCTTAGGAATCTTATATGTCCATCAGCAGATGAAAGAAAATGTGGTATTTTCACACAATGGAGCACTACTCTGCTATAAAGAAGGACAAACTTGAGTCATTTGTAGAAAAATGGATGCACTTTGGGACTCTAGAGTGTTTTTTTGGGCCGGGGATCAAACTCAGGACCTTGTGCTTGTAAGGCAAGCGCTGTGCCACTGAGCTAAATCCCCAGACCGAGACCCTAGAGTTAAGTGCAATAAATCAAACACACAAGCGGAAATATCACATGGTTTATATGAGAAACCCAAAGCATAAAAATTAGAGAGCAAAATTAAAGAGAGAAAATAGGAAGCAGAGAGACAGATCTTTTGCAAAAGGGAATGGACCAAGAGCTGGGAGAGAGCAGATGGGAGGGGGTGAGAGACGAACGCAGGCCCGTCATGCACCTGCACCAGCTCTCCACACTGAGCGCGATCCTTACGTCCTGCAAACGTGGGCCGAAGAAAACAAAAACCTGAAAAAACTTGAAAAGAATACAACTTAATAATACGTTACGGAATATACTAGCAGAGGAAGCAGCTCCTCATGCTGGGGGAGAGCCACCGTGCAGTTAGTTGGGTTCATGGGACTGGTGGACGCCCCGCATCCACCCCACCGAAGAGCACTTTGAGCAGGAGTCTGGCGGGGCCTGTGTGCTTTCTGACACAAGGGTCCTCTGGCCTGAGGAGCTGGGCGGGAGTTTTCATGTGCAGGACCTGGTCCTGCCCTGTTTCACAGCCTTCCCACATCGGGGAGCATTTGTCCTGAAGAAATTCCAGCATCAAGGACATTTTGTCTTCTCGTGATGAAAGTTAGCCTGTGACTCAGCCACCCACGCCTCTGCACGAGGCCTTCCCCGAGTGGCTTATTGGTGGAAGTCACTGAATCTGAAGAGAAACGGCTGCTCTAGTAACTCCCATGCCCTTCAGCTCCTGCCCTTCAAGCCTCGCCAGTGCAGGGATGAGAAGTGGACCCTGGCCTCCTCCAACCTCAATAAATGTCACCTGCGCCGTGGTGACAGGTGACCATGCAACGAGAAAGCCGTTCAGGAACACTTAATTGCTCCCACCGCTGCAGGTTCATGGGCTGTTTTGTATGTGAAAGTTCCCCGGAAGGGCAGGGGATGCTTAAACTGTGTGCAGAGCACCGTGGTGTGATAATCTGGTTGATTTTTGAGAAGATCCCTGTTTTCCTGGTCACCTCACCTGTAGGTCTAGCTGAAGAAAGGAAGGAAGGAGCGAGTGAATCCAACTTAAAGAGCAAGCAATGGCGGACCCACTAATCCAGGGGTGGGTCGGGAGGTGTCCTTGTGTGAAGAAAGCACAAGCTGAGGGCACCAGCAGCCTTTCACGTCCTCACTGCATCCCCGTGTGGCCGGAGGTCAGCTGTTCCCAGGCCAAGGTCACTGCTCCGGTGTCTGAAGCAGTGCCTAACCCTCGCAGAAGCCTCTGGGCTGCAGGAGCACTGGCTCTGCACGTGGTTGGTTTGACCAAATGCATCTCTGACCCTCGCCCTGTCCTTCGGGCCTCTCAGCCTCCCATCTCCCGAGTGTTTGGAAGCTCCCCGGTGATGCGCTCTGCTCTTCCTCTTGCCGAGAGAGCACCATCCGCACTGTCCTGAGAGGAAAGTCCTACACCACCGCCACTGCCCCTCCGCACCCTCTTACAGATGAGAGGAGCTTGTTGTGCAGTGTGCTGTGATCACAGCCGGGAAAAGAAGACGCGGGCTTGGGCTGGGAGCTGGGCCCTGGAGCCTGGCGCCCCCTAGTGCGCTGGATTGCCCAGGGGACGGGAGCTCCCCTGTTGTTCAGTGTCACTCAACAGGAGCCCTGTCGCCTCAGGGCCCAGGACAGGGGTCCCGAGCCCGGGACATGGGGGTGGGGTCACTCCCTGGGGGGCAGTGGTGGAGGGAGGGGACTGGGGACCCCACTGCCATCTGCAGCACCGACCAGCTGCCCATGCCTCGTCTGTCCCGTGGGCCCAAGGTTTCCCTTACTCCTCAGCGGGAACAGCAGAGGCTGTCTGCCTGCTTGGGGGGCCTAGGGAGCGCCTGCTTAGGGGAAATCATAACCAGTCTCGATTTGCAGCTCTTAATTGGCTTTAATTGCACTTCTCATAGCAGGCTGCAGTCCAGGCCCAAAGTGTTCAGACTTCTGCACCTCACCCCTGGGCAATGAAACAGAGCTGACTGCACAAAAGGAAGTAAGCAGCAGATGGCCAATTGGTCACAGCTCCCTGTGTCACGTTTGAATGTGGTTTGAACAGTTGGTGGCTTGTGATTGGCTGAGACCCAGGTACTGGCTACCGGGGTAGGTTACAGTCTGTTTACACAGCAAGTTAGGTTGCAGTTCACGGCGAGCGGAGACACCTTTGGGCCACCCTTCAACGCTGTGTGGAGACTCACCAAACTCAGCCCTGCTGCGTCACCTTGGGGCTGGGGAATTGCCCGAGGTACCACTCAGGCAGGGACCTTGCAGGACATCAGGGCTCCGCCACACCTTGGTTCCAGGCCCAGACCTGCTCCTTGCACTTCGCTTGGGTGCTGGGGTCCACTCCCAGGACCACGCAGTCCCAGGGCCGGGTCTCCCTGACCCCTTCAAGGGTGTCTCCTGCAGCGACGGCTTCGTTTTCTAGCTCACTCCTCCCTCTTCTTCTCTACCCACATTCTCTAGGTTCTGTTGCCCGATCCACTCTGTCTCCGAAGTGCATGCTTTCGTATGTAAAAGTATGAAGTTGAAACCCACCCCGATTCCTGTTTTTCCCGGATTTAAATCAGTGGCCCGCAGCATCCTCTTCCCTTGGTGCCCACTCCCCCCGAACGCGGCCATCTGAACGGGACACTCCGTCCGTCCCACCGAGCCTTTGGTCCCGATGAGCGCCAGCAGCCGCGCGGGACCCCGTCTCCCCAGCGCCGGCCTCTCTGTCCCCGGGCTTTTTCTTCTCCAGATCTCCTGTCTCAGGCAGGTCGTGACCAGAGCAGTCACTTGGCTGAAATTTATCTTCGTCTCTCTCTTTTCCTTGAAGTTCTTATCCATTGTCTAATCTCTCCTGCCTCCAAACGAAACGTCTCTTTTATAAGCTCCTTCAAACGCAGTTTTCCAAACTTCAAACAGCTCGGGTGGAACTCAGCCAGAGTAAACGTGGTTCAGGGATGGGGCATGAGAGGCTGCTCAGCGTCTCCGGGTCACAGCGGATCCAAATGCTGAGCCTCACATCCCTGCACACCTCGGGGCGCTCTGACCTGGGACGTTGCTTCTCACCTTCGAGGTCTCCACATTGACCTCTCAGCTCCCTGGAGCCGCCTGGCTGTGGACCAGTGCCCTCCAGGGGAGGGGTGGGAGTGGCAGGGGAGAGAGGGAAGCCAGCTGTGCAGCCGGAGTGGAGCTGGGCCTCTCTCCATCGGGGTTTTCTGTCCCCAGCCCTGCTCTGGTGGCGGAAGCTCTGCCTTGCAGGTCAGCCACAGCCAGGCTTTGAGGGGAGCCCATGCTGCAAGGGCAGCGAGGTGGGGCCAGAAGGCAGGAAGCGGGGGAGCAGGGCTGTTGGAAAGGAGAGGACAGGAAGGTGGTGGGGGTGCAGATTCTGGACAGGTGGGATGAAGCAGACCTTGTCACTTGTCGCCTCAGGGAGGGGCCTGTTGGAGACGGCCGAGGCCACAACTGTTCCCAGCACAGGCTCCCATGTGGCTGGAGCCTCCTCCTGCACAAAGTGGGAGGAGAGATGCCCTGCTCTGCTTTGTCACAGTGAAGAGGAGGCTCTGTAGCTTCGGCCTCTGCAGCTGGCATTTGGGGGCTGTGGCAAGGGCTGAGCTGGCCAAGCCAGTCCTGTCCCCGCAGTGAGGAGCGCGTCCGTCCGTGCCCATGACACATGCAGTTCTGTCAGTGTCCAGCTCTGGAGTCGACCCGGGGCCTTTCCATCCTGGCCCCACCACTGCCCACTGGCCACCCCCGAGCCACTTAGCAGTCTCCCTGTGACAGCCCACTGTGCAGGAGCACGAGCAGGAGGCCTGGGGGACTGAGGGGTCACGTGTGGCATGTCTGCCAGTAGGGGGACCCGCTCTTCCCCGGCACGTGGAGAGAGGGCCCAGAATCAGGAACAAACTTCAAAACACAGCACAACAACGACATACGACCTCCCCAAACCAGACGCCCAGGCCCAGCTGAATTTCCAGATTAACAACAAGCGATCTTAGTATAAGTTCATCCCGCGCACCACTGGGGAGGAACTTGTAGCAGAAATCACTTGCTGTTTAGCTGCATTCTGAGTTACATGGGTCCTGCATTTTGTCGTGGGGATTTTCTTTAAAGGTGTCCCAGGAAGGACGTGTCTCTCTCCTTGTCCTCTCTTTGCCTCTTGCAGGAGTGTTTCACAGAGCCCAGTTTGCAGCTCAGCTGTTGGTGAGAGAAGTGGCAAGGACCAGAGCCTGCTTCTGCTGCCCTGAGACTCTGTTTTCTTCTCTTCAGCCCAGTGGACACAGCGAGGGAGAACGCAGCCTGGGTGCTGCTTGTCTGCTGAGTGTGCTGCCTGCTTGGTTAGTGATGCGGGGTAACAGGACTCCCGGTCGCCAGAGGTCACATGTGCCCGGGGTGCGCCCAGAATCCAACAATGAGCTCTGAGGAACCGCGCAGGTGAAAGCTGGGAAAAGTTGATGGAGGGAGAGCTCCCGACGGACAGGAGGGGACCCCAAAGCGGGTTGCCAAGGAGCCCACTTCTCAAAGGAAGTTTCATAGAGCAAACTCACCAGAGCAGTACAGTGTGGGTCAGAGCTACGATCGCCTGGCAAGGTCACCAGTGTAGCCGCTTAGGGAACATTGACCCACAGGGGAAGCAGGTCACGCAGCAAGGGTCCATGGAAAGAACGGGGGCCTTTTGAGGAGGGGTTGGGTCGGGAGGCCTGTGGCCCACCTCGGAGCCTGACGTGGACCTGGGCTTTACAGGCCAGGTGATACCAGCTATGCACAGTCTTGGGGAGGCACTTGGCCTGCTCAGGTCATTCTGTCTCTGTCTTGCGGCCTGGCCTTCCCCAGATGCACCTCCCGCCACAGTTACAATGTGTTCTCGTCTTCTGCACTGACCCTCGAGGGCCTAGTCCCGTCTGGCTGCCCATAGTTTTTCTACCGAACTCAGCTGACCATGATACTAGGGTTAGCGTTGGGGTAGGGGTGGGGTCAGTTCTATTTACCAAGTGCTGGTGACAGGTAGGGGACAGCCACTCCACACTCGGGGGTGGGAGCCCAGGCCAGGCCTGGCCTGGGCTCCCACCCACCAGGGGGCAGCAGAAGGGGGTGGAAGTGCTGGGCTGCAGGCGGAGGAGCAGAGCTTGGGTGACTGGGGCCAGGGCCTGGGTGTGAACGGAGGCAGGGTCCGGGCTGGGGCAGGTCGGTCAGGCTTGGGAAAGCAGTGCTCCTCTGAGGCTCAAGGCAAAGAGCAGCCAGCCAGCTTGGGGTCCTTGTTGCTTAGCCCTCTGTGCTCAGCCTGCTGTTCTCTCCTGCCCCAGGCGTGGCACCACACCGGGCCCAGGCTGCTTCGTCCCAAGGGCCTGAGGACAATTTTGGTCTAACTTGGTGAGAAGAGTGCTCCTTGCAGCTTGCCTTCCCCCTGCAGGCAGGCACACAGGTACTGGCAGACCCCAGGAAACCTGTCCGCCGGCCGGCAGCTGTTCCACTACCATGGAAGCGCGAGGGCATCTGTGAGAAGACACGCACACACACAAGCACACGTGTGCATGCATAGCAGCATAGTGTGTGTGCACTGCACAGTGTGTGTGCGTGTGCAGTTTAAGGACGTGTCTGTAAAGGGTGAGAAATTCCAGTAGCATTTTAACTTTCAGGGTCTTCAGTGAATGTTTTCTTTTCTGTCCTGTGCCTTTAAATGATGAGTCTCATCTTCCCCAGAGCAGGCCCCATCCTCGGGCTCCTCTTTTCATGAACGCAGATCACTCTGAGTCCTCAGCTTCTCTCTCCTGGGCCCCTTGCAGCTACACAGAGGCCCTGGGCTCAGGGGGCCTCTCACCCTCCCTCCCTTCCTTCCCTGCAGGCCGGAAACTCTCGCTGCCCAAATGCCAAGGGCAACAGTACATAGAGGTCGGGCAGGGCAACGGTGGTCACCGCCTTCCCACGACTGTGAGATCGCGTGCCTGGGTGCTGGTGCCAGAGGAGAGGGAAGCAGCAGGCCTAGTGGGCAGGGCAGGGAGATTCGGTGTACAACTGGCTCAGTGCTTAGAAAAGCAATGCCAAATGATGCCTTTGGGTTGGCTGTGCTCTATCTACAGACATGCGCAGAGTTTCCTTACTATGTACTGGCCAGAGCCCAACATTCTATCACTTAAGGAAATACTGTAATGCACTTTGTGGAAAATGATAAAATATATAAAGGCGTAGAAAGAATAAAAGACAGCCGTGCATGGCCCCACTGCCCTTCGAGGACTGGCAGTAGCAGCTCAAAGCCTCTGTCCGCACCCTCATCCGTGTCTGCACCAATGTGCATGCCCAGCTCTGTTTTTGCAAAACGGAAGTCATCCTGCGCTACTGTTTTGCTGTCAAACCTTTTTCTTGAGTGGCACATGGCAAATCCTTTGGCCAGTGTGGAATATTCGTTAGGCACAGTTTGGAACGTTCGTATGCTATTCCACTGTGAACACACAGGTTTGTTTGATGCCCTTAGTGTTGGACATTTTATTTTCTTATTTGATCTTTCTATTATTATTATTCTTTATTATTTGTGGTGCTGGGATGGAACCCAGGGCCTCATGCCTGCTAGGCAAGCGCTTTAATCACTGAGCTCCACCTGGAGCCCTGTTGCACATTGCACATTGAGACTGTCCAGGGTGGAAAATAACTAGCCTGCATAGCAATCTGCAAAAGAGGGATCGGTAACCGGTGCCCTATAGGATAGGTGTTGTGTTTTCTTCTCATACAGAATTCCCAACAATTTGGGGATTGTGGAATCCCTAGCAGTTGTTAGGACTCAGCTGCCCTGGGCCAGGGAGGTCAGCTTCTTCCCCATCTCCATGGCGACGATGGTGACCTGCATGTGACCTACAAGCTTAAGGTATTAATTTATGTTCCCCCTCTCAGATTAATATCTGATGTGAAATTAGTAGGAAAAGATGCACTCCTTAGCCAGGGAGCCCTTCCTTGCGGGAGGATGGGAAGTGGGCGGAAGGGATGATGTTACCTCCCGCTGGCCTTTGATAGTCCGCATCAGTATCTCTTTCATGTCACTGGACCCGAATGGGGCCGCATCAAAGGGCTGTTTCAGAAGAGGAGTTGTGGAGCAGGCGTTGCGGGCTGAACAAAGCCGGGCAGGATTAGCCCGCGGGTCAGTGCCCACCCGCAGCCTGAAGCCTTCGCTGCCCTCTCAGCCCCCTCAGGGCTGTCAGCAAGAGACGAGGCTGGGCATTGCTAGCCTGAGCGTGAGAGATCTGGAAACGCGTCCTCCTGGCAGACACTTGTCCTTGTCCCTCCTCCGAGACTTGGGGCCTCCCCTCCTCCCCCTCCTATGGACCCGAGGTGCAGGCGGGCTTGCAGGCTGGGTCGGGTGACCATTTCCTCTTCCTCCCCACACCGGGCTCCTCCTGAGTTTTTTGCACCTTCATTGAGTCTTCTGAGTTTTCTTTTAATTTTTAAAAATTACGTAGCTGGGGAAAACTCTACTAACATGAAAGCACATGGCACGTTTTACAGATTGGAACAGGAGGAAGAACAAGGCAGTGACAGGTTGATCATCCCTAACCTGAAGATCCAGAATCGGAAATGCTCCAAAACCTGACACTTCCGATACCACAATCGGAAAGCTCTACCCCCTGGAAGTTTGCTGCAGGCACAAAATTATTGAAGAATGTTGTATAAAATCACCCCAGGCTGTGTGTAAAGCATGGATGAATTCTGTGTTTGGACTTAGGTCTCCTCCCCAGGGCATCCCATGTGCAGGCAGAAGTCCCCACCCAGGTAAGAGAGAAAGCCCCACCCTGGAAGCACTTGCACTCCAAGCGCCTAGGATAAGGCGAGGTTGCCTGTGTCCACTGAAGCAGGTGAACAGGACAGGCGCGCTTACGATGCTCAGCTTGTGTCTGGGTGACACACTGGGTGAAATGAAGGCTGTGGACCAGCGGGCATCTGGGGTCCCGCTCCCAGGGGGCCCTCACTTGCTCCGAGGGTGCAGCAGTATCACCGAGACAGCAGATGCCCGGGACCGGTAGGAAGTCAGGATGGGCACTGTCACCTGGCAGTCGCTGGTGTGGTGAGCCTGAGCCCTGGGTCTCGGGGACACTGGACTGCATCACACCTGCCTGGGCTCGGGCCGCTTGGCCGAGCAGCTAACCCGGTCCGGTGGTTCCAAGCAGCCCCAGGTAAGGCGTGTGCCAGGGACTTGCAGGGCAGCCAGAGGGCGGTGGCTTCGAGCACTTGAGTGCTGTGGGCACCGCTGTGGACGCCTCAGCATCTCCTGTGTCTGGCTTCAGGTTGCTGGGTGAACCGATGGAGCCTGGGAGGTGGACTGCGTCTATGTTCTCCTCCTCCTGTCCCCGTTCCTGGGCGGCTCCTGCTCAGCCTCCTCCTCTTCCCTGCCTCTTCCTCCTCCTCCTCCACGGACCTACTCTGGCTTCCTCCACCTCCCGCTTCCATCTCCTCCTCCTCCTCTTCTTCCTCCTCCTCTCAGTACTTTCAATCCTGTGGTTTTAACAATTTCCCCTGAGCAAGCTGGGCCTACAGGCACCTCACGAGGTTCTGCCTTTTAGTGTGTCTTTTTACCCCAGTGCTGGGCACAGAGAATGTTTGTTAACCATGTGAAGAGATGACAGACACAGAGGGTGTAGAAGCAAGGCTCCCTGCACTGTGAGCTCTGTCTCCCTCGGTCTCACCTCAGGGCCTTGGGAGCAGGGACATGGGAACAGCCTTTCCCGGCCACCCGCTCCGCCTGCGCGTGGGGCGCCTGCTCCTGGCTGCCTGCCTTTCCTCTGCCGCAGCAGGAGGCACCGGAAAGCCCCACTTGACTGTCACTTTGGAGGCCCTGTGGTCTGCGTCTGTCCCCATGCTGGGGCTCAGAAGTTGGCAGCGACAGTCCTGCTCTACCCAACGCGACTGTGGGCCGCACCTGGCTGTGCTCTGGGTGGCACCAGGAAACAATGGGACTGTGAAAGAGGAGGAAGAGACTTCAGAAAACCAAAGCAAGTGACAAGACACCCCCAGCAAGTCAGTGACAGGGTTTGCTTCCAGATTGGCTGTCGGTGGCCCTGAAAAGCCACATCCTCTGAAAAGCCCTAAGAATGTGGCCTGAGGAGGCAGGCAAGCACGGCCGTGGGGCAGGAGCAGCGTCGAAGGCCTGCGGCTGGCTGTGGGCACTAGAGTAGAGGGTGACAAAGACAAACCCTGTGTGTGCGGGGCGGTAAGGTGTGCCACCCTCTGGGCGGGAGGCAGGGCATAGGCCCCATGGGAGGAGGTGTGGGAGACAGCGCTGCCCTGGCGGCTCGTTCTGCCCTGGGGCGAAGCCTCTGGGAGAGGGGTCCAAGTGGGCTCGGCCCCGGTCCCTGTGAGCTGCTCAGGCAGGGCCACAGTGCGTGTGACCCCGAGGAGCCGGCCTGGTGAGGAGCTGGGGCAGATGTGAGCAAGGCAGCTCCCAGCCCTGTCCTCGGAAGCCATGGAGGGAGGGGGGGGACCACACTCAGGTCAGCAAGGCGTCCTGGGTGTTGTCAGGAGACACCAGACGCTTAGCTCTCCGATGCTCTAGCTTTGTGTCTGACCGAAGAACACATCCCGAACCTTAGCACTCTGCTCACACGACCAGGCGCCGCCAGCTGTCCACATGGACAGAGCATCTAGGGCAGGTCCTGGCTGGCCAGACGGCTGCCCGGAGTGGAGGCGCTGCCGAGGGACTCAGGCTTCTGTGTGCACCTGCCGCGGATCGGTCCCTACGGGCGTCCGTGCAGACCACCCTGCAGGCTCATGTGTCGCTGTCCACCTTTCCGGGTGGCGAGGTCCTTGTGCAGACACTGGGAGGGTGCCTCGTTCCTGGCCCAACCCCGCTCAGCTCCAGCTATGCTTTCCTTGACAATAGAGACTTTGTCTTCAGTGGAAGAGGAAGTCAGGCATGACGAGCTGCAGCTGAAAACTCGCGGAGACTTTTGATCTTTCTTTCCGTGCAGCTGAGGTCAGGTGCTGTCCCCTCTCTCCTCACCTCACCTGCTGATCAGGGAGATCACCTGTCGCAGTTTGCCAGGGACCTACGGGGTTTTTGCGATGTGAGGCTTCCTTCCTTCCTTCCTTCCTTCCTTCCTTTCTTTCTTCTCCTCCCTCCCCTCCTTCCTTCCTTCCTCTCTTTCTTTCTTCTCCTCCCTCCCCTCCTTCCTTCCTTCCTTCCTTCCTTTCTTTCCTTTCTTTCTTTCTCCTCTCTGTCTCTTCCTTTCTTTCTTTCTGTCTGTCTGTCTGTCTTTCTGTCTGTCTTTCTTTCGTTTTTTCTTTTTTGCAGTACTGGGGGTTGAACCCAGGATCTTTGCCCAGCCCTTTTCAAAAGATTACTTTGAGGCAGGGTCTTGCTGAGTTGCTAATTTGCCCTGGCTGGGCTTGAACTTGTATCATCCAGCCTCTGTTTCCCAGAGTACTGGGATTACAAGTGTGTGCCACCATGCCTGGCCAAGGGACATGAGGCTTTCAGTGCCCAAATCAGGAAAGTTGCAGTTAACTCTCGTAGAGAATTGTTCAGTATGAGAATCATTTCCAGTCCAGGGGAATGCAGGTGCGTGACTGGGCCTGCCTTCCCTCCTCCCTGTCCAGGCCCTCATGGAACAGCGTGCAGGCCTCTCATGCACAGCTGCTGCTGCCCAGCCTGCTTCTCACAGCCCTGTACCTGGCTGGATGCTAGTGAAATAGAAACTATCCCGTCTTATGTAGGGACTAACAACAAGAAAGAAGTCTGTTCCCATTCAGTGCAGGTGCACATCTTTTCCAATGTTTTGCCTGGTGGTTGAGTGAATGAAGGACTTGGAGTCTGGTTCTGGTGGGTCACAGTGTTCACTTCTGAATGAGGCTGAGCATCTTTCCAGTACCTCTGGCCACAGGTGTTTCTGGTTCGGTGAGCACCACCTGTGGGCCTTTTGCACAGCATTCGAATGAGCAGGTCATCTTTCCCCTACTTAGTGTTGTTAAGGAAGAGGCAGATTTTATGGAATTCTAGTTCCATTGTTTGGTCTTGGGGAAGATTTTCGACCTCTGTTGGATTTGTTCTTTTTTTTCATCTGTGAAGTGGGAATGGACTGTCCTGCTTCCCGGGGTGTACGGGTCCCTGACATGGTCATGCACAGCAGGCACCAGGCTGTCTCTGCCTTCAGAGCAGCCAGGGTTTCTACAGAGCCCAGCGCCCCAGGGCCTGCGCAGAGGTGTCTGGGAAATGCAGCCTGTATGGGGGAGGCTGGGCAGCAGCGGAGGGGAACTTTTCTTCTCTATGCCTGCATCAGCTCAAAACTGTTGCCCAGGCTGGGGCTTCCTGGGCAGTGCCCTCAAGCTATTTTCACAACTTGTGATCCCAGGAAGAAGCAAGGTCATTCAGGGTCATGGCCCCGTCCACGTGCACCTCAGACCCCACTGGCCCCAGGTTTGGAGACAGTGCTACCCAGCATGCAGGGTCCTCCAACATGGCAACCGCATTCAGGCTTTCAAAAGTTCATCATGATTTCACAACCTTCAGCTGAGCAGTGAGCAGAAAGAGGATTCTCCAGGGCCTGGGCAGAGTTGACCCTTGGGAGCAGCACACCAGCCAGGTTCTCTTTCTGGGTCTCCAGAATTCCTACAGGAGCGGCTGAGGGTCCTGGGCTTTTTCTAGCTGTGCCCTGGGTCCTTGGCAGCCACCACGAAGTGGCTGTTTCTGTCCACTGTGCTGCCCAGCTGCCTAACCCTGCCTCCTGATGACTTAGCTCTCTGGGCTCTGGGGAGAAGGCTGCTGGTTCAATGGGGTAGGTTTCGGGGAGGGAAGTGTGTCAGTGCTTCCTGCCTTCTGAGATTTCCCTGAGGAGATGCACAGCCTTGCCTTCCCTCTCCACCTCCCGGAAGCCAAGCCGGAAGGGTCCCTGTGGGAAGAGGACCAAGCATGCCTGCTCCAATCTGCACACTTGGCTGCAAGAATTTCTCTCCTTCCCCCTAGGTCCTCCCTGGGGCCCCCTATCTGACCCTGGGGTCCAGGGGGCCTACGTGGCTGTCAAGCTCAGTTTCGGCCCCACCCATATGGTTTGTCAGCAATGACAGGGCTCCTGGCTTCTCACTCACCACTCCTTGGTGTAATTCACATTGGTTCAGTGGGGAGAGAGGTGTTTTTGTCAGATCTCTCTCAGGGATCACACAGGCCTAGCTTAGGGTCAGGGAAAAGGAAAGCAGAAGGTCCCAGACATCACAGCATGTCGGGGACACTGAGGCTGGAGCCCAAGCCTCTGGCTCCCGACGCCAGCATGTGTCTCAGCATGTGGACAGCTAGAGGGCTCCTCGCGTGTCATGTGATGGTGACGCAGCCCGGACACCCTTGCCTCCATGTGTAAGACGGCCTCTGAGCTTTTTATCTCGGTGGAGCCCGAGCAGACTCCTCGCTCACCAGAGATCCCAGAGCCACTCGAAAGCCTTCAATGGGCTGCCTTCCACCAGATGCTGAGGGCCGGGGTCCCGACTGCTGAGCACAATGCCTGAGGGTGGCAAGTCCTCCACAAGTATTGTCAGAACTGAGTTGACCAAATTGTCCCGTGATGGTTTAGGTGTGAACACGTGTTCTAGGTATCAGCCAACCTGTTGTTACTATAATAAAACGCACAAGATGACTCACTTCACGAAGAAAAGAGGCTGAATGAGCTCACACTTTTGGGGCCCAGACCCTGGTGATTAGCCCCTGCTGCGTCCT